GACATCTCAGCACGATAGGGAAGACAGAGAGGGAGAAAAGCAAAGGACGATAAAGAATCAAATATACAGTCTTGACAAGAGAGCTACAAATAACATAAGGAATGACTTCATAAGGAATTCAGAAGACAGAGAAGGGTGAAGAACCATAATCAACAATGACTGCGCCAGACAAGGCACTTGGAGAAGTCACGTAGAGAGAGAAAAAAAACACGAAAAATCAATTGCTTTCCGAAGAAATCTTTCTGGTCCGGGACTGGGTTGTTACTGCAGTAATAATACTAATTTATTATTAAAGAAAGAGAGATAGAGAGATAGATTGCTCAGATACTCCCAGCAACCAACCTCCACTGTCGTACATCGAAGGAAAAGTCCGGTCAAGTTCACACGACGCTTAATATAATCCGCTTCTGGGAGATCCAGCACTCCATAAGTGAACGTCCTCTGGCTTCGATCCCTTATGGAATCCTCCTCCCGATCCTTCAGGGTGCTAGGGGTCCCGTAGGATCCGTGGGGCGTCCAACGACCGATCTGGGAGACTCGGTGTTCGAGGTTTTCGGCGACTTGGTAAACCTCACTCAACTTCCATTCCTTGTCGGAGGCCATTCTGCTGGCCACGGTTACCTGTGCGGGAGACTGGTTGAGGACTCTTGTGCACGGGCCTGCAGATGTGTGTGTGTGTGTGTGGGGGGGGGGGGGGGTACAGGGAGAGTATCCGTGTGTGTGTGTGTGTGTGTGTGTGTGTGCGTGCGTGCGTGTGTGTGTGTGTGTATGGGTATGTGTATGTGTATGTGTGTGTGTGCGCCCGTGTGTGTATATACTGAACAAAATCAAATATCAGCTAGAAACATTAAAATCATGCAATTCTGACAGTATAACTTTGACACCCGAACATAACACTGGCCGCGCGCTTTTCCTGGAAAAAATACAAGATGCAAGTTGCTAAAGACAAACATTGTGGTTTCATGTTGGCCGGCGCTGTCATACGTGTAAACAGAGCGAATACGTACCATCCGTGACGCACTGTCAACAAAGTCCCGCAATGCCGAGGTCTTGTATCATGGCTTGTATTTACTCTTCCAGCAGGCAGTCTATGCAAATTATTTTTAACATTCCGAACCGCGAACTCAGAGACTTCATCATTTTGAATCGCATTGTCCTGGCGTGACGAATTAGTATTTTATTTCTGTTGTCTTGAGTAATTATGAACGTAATCGCAAAATAAACGATACGAGTGACTACACACTGAAAGAGATTACTGTTGCCCATTGCTTTGGAGAAAATGAATAACGTTGAATCAAGCTGAGAACAATGACGCGTTTAAACATATTACTCAATTCAAAATTCAGTATAGTGCTTGTGTAGAAATGGCCAGGTATGATCTATTTCCATCTATGAATCAGACAAACATGTAACATCTAATTTCCGATGTTGTTATTGTTGCTGTTTATGCATAGATAATAATGATAATAGTAATAATTAGTATCATTATTATCATCAATTATCATTATTATTATCATTAATGTTATTATGGTTATTAATATTTCATCAGCAGCATTATCTTCACTGATTCGCCGGTTTTTCGTCACCAGCTCCCTCGCAAGGGATCCCTTCGAAGGACTCGCCTCTGGCAGCAGACGTCCGTTTCCCCCGTGGACGCCCCTCCTTTTAATCTCAATGGGACAGGATTCCAGTCATCATCTTTATTTTTATCACTATTATTGTTCTTCTTATTATTATCATTATTATTATTATTATTATTATTATTATTATTATTATTATTATTATTATTATTATTATTATTATTATTATTATTACTACTATTATCATCATTGTTGTCATCATCACTGTTATTATTATCTTCGTCATCATTATTATTTTCATTACTATTGTTATCATTATTATTTATATTTTTATTATTACTACTACATTTTACCATTATTATTACTATTGTTAGTATTAACCCATTCGCCCCATGTGTCAAGAATACATGCCATGCCCATTGTAATACACGTTTATTTATTGTATTTACACATAGATGGCTCTACAGGTTCTTAATCACCAAATAGCCAGTTTATCAGAACTACCTATCTCACCTGTT